GTGTCACTTGGCCGACTCTAGAACTTCTGATGAATATTCATGAGTGTTCTTGAACTTAAAAATTTTGAAAAACCAAAAACATTTTTGCTCTTGTATATAAATACTTGTTACAAAATACAATCCTTATATTTGTCTTGATAAAATCCCTCAGTGGAAGAAACCCGTTGTCTAAGACAAGTTTTTTTTTTCTTTTATCTTCATTCATATACTAGCTTAAAACTCGCATTCCGTGCAAAGTTTTAAGGTACCTGCTGCGGATGGCTAATTCTAACTCCAGCTCAAAACTAAAGGGGCATCGGGTCCAGCTTAGAAATAAGCAATGATATCTTAGAATGGAACATGAAAACCTCACTTTAACACTGATTTGGGCAATAAATCCAAATCCCGCCAAAAGCCCTATTTGGGCCGAAATTTCAATTTAGGCCGAAAATGAAGTTTTTCAAATCACAAACTCCGTGAATCTTCATTTGTGTTGAGTTCTTCAAATCACTAACTCTGGGAAAATTCAAAATATCACATTACAAAACCTTTCACTTTAACTCTGATTCATTGGTATTTTCAAGAAATAAAAATGATTTCCTCAATTCACAACGTTTGGGAGATAATTTAAACTGAATTTAAAATATATTTTTCATTCACAAACTTTTTACGTTACGTTAAACTCAATATAAAGGAAAAAAAATTAAGATGACTATTTTTTTCTGTTATTTTAAAATTTGAATTTTTAATTGTTCCCTCCTTATCCGGACACAAATCTCAATGCTGGATGTTCAAATCAGGGATTATCCTGATTTCAAAAAGGTATAATATGTTTATGTAGTGCAAGTACGACCTGCGTTTGAGGAGTTTCAGACAATGGACAGACAGAATTTGCCATTTATATATAGATACATATGTATGTATGTGTGTGTCTGTACTGAATCTTTTATTATTTTCTATAAATCACTATAAAATCGATAAATAAATATATATAAAATTTAAATATATAATATTCTTATAATAATATTCAATATAAAATATCCCCATATATTACAAAAAGCTTATTTTAATAAAAAGTGACATTTCGATCAAAGATTTGTCATATTTTTACAAAAAGTTTTAAAGATTAATTTTATTTATTTATTTTTTTCATTCTTTCTATATCTTTTATAATTGTTAATGTTTGGTCTAAGGTTTCAATTTTGAAACATTTTATGTAAACGATATTTTTCTTATTAATTTTATAAATTAATATTCATAAATATTTCAATTTAAATATCGTTAATATAATAAAAATCGTATGCTTGTGTGCGTATATATGCATATGCAAACGAGGTATATTTGTAAAGAATATATTTCCCCGCGAAGTTTTGACCAATGAATCCAAAAGATGACTTCATATATATACACATTATAATTTTGAATAAACATTATATATATATATATATATATATATATATATATATATATATATATAATATAGATATAATATAGTCATCCACAGATATGTTTCCTTTGTATCACAGTGTGTCTAGACGTCCAGTTGCCTCTAGCTGGGATCGAAACCCGACTGAATTGGCGTCAGTCGATTCACTACTAAGCCGTTGAAGGTGAATTTACGCGTATTTATTTTAGATAAACACAGACTTGTTCGATTTACCTATTTGCGTTATTATAATAGTCACTGTTTACAAACCCTTCGCATATCCTTAGAAAATCAAGTGAAATATATCTATATATATTAATAAATATATATATCCCCACCATTAGTATAGGTTTCATGTCTTTAGGTGTTGGGTGAAGACTGACGAACGCAATGCTTCTATATATAATACAAAGATTACGTTTTTTAAAATATATTTTGAAAATAAAGAGAATCAAACTTTATTTTCAAAATATATTTCAAAATGGCATTTATTAAAAATGTATTAAAATAGACACTCTAAAACTGTATGATAAAAAAAATTAAAGTTGGGATTATTATTTTATATGAGACATAAAGAGGGTTTACTATATTTTTTAGTAAAAATTTGATTTCAAAAAATTTTGTTAAAAAGAAATATATAAAAATAAACGGACTTAGATATCATAACAACAGAAAAAAAGGCAACGGTCATAATTTACATTATTAAATAATTAATTATACATACATGTATATATATATTTTTTTCTAATAATATTTCTCGAATATTCAGGCTTACATAAAATAAATAAATATGCTATTTAATATATAAACAGAACATCTAAATATATATATATATATATATATATATATATAATGAACATAAAGTCAACATAGAGGCAGTCTGTTTCAGTAGATGCAATCATCAGGCCATCAAACGGACTGTCCTCTGTCATATAATTTTATGTTGAGCAAAAAATATAGCGTCTTAAGACTATGTTTCTTTTATATATATATATATATATATATATAATTTTATTTATTACATTTATATATATACATATATATATATATATATATATATATATATATATTTTTTATAATTGTATAATGTATACATTTATATATATATATACATATATATATATATATATACATATATATATATATATATGGTATATATACATGCATTGATATATATATATATATATATATATATATATATATATATATATATATACATATATATCGATATTATATATATATACATATATATATATATGTATATATATATTATTAATTTATAAATTAATATTCATAAATATTTCAATTATAAATATACATGCATATATATATATATATATATATATAATAAAAATCGTAGAAAATTCAGCTTATTTTCTTTGTATTTTAAGCAATTGAATTACATCTACCGTGTGTATATATGCCACGTCTGACAGGATTCGCATTGTGGCGGACGAGGTATATTTGCGTAAGGAAAAACTGACTCCCATAATGTTTTCGCGATCACTGCAATCTTAATCTGTTAAAGTGTAGTATTAACTGTTATGTACTCCACATATCCGCATAAATTCTGCCACTTATTCTGTAACCCTCTGCCTCGAGTTGCTCCCGAGCCTTGTATACATGTTCTACTGTAAAAAAAAAAATGGCGCAAATTAATGTTTCATGATTAGACAAATAGGTTTCTGAATAATTCCGTCAAGTCACTACGAGGAACGATTGGTTTTAGTCGTAAAATTAGCGGGAATTTCAAGCCGTTGTATGTTTTCACTGAAAATAAAATGAAACCTATTTATACATATTTGAATTCTTGAATATTAATAATTCTTTAATATTGGGTTTTCAGTTCGAATTGTTTTTTTTTTTTTTAAGTTTTTTCATTTGTATTTATCTGATAAAAATCACTAAAGTCATCAAAGATAATATAAAACACAAAAATTAAGAACTAAAAATATATGTATGAATTTACAAATGAGGTATTTGAAAAATAATAACACTGTGACAATGACACACAGTATTAACATTGGGTTAAAAATAAAATAACTCAATTTAACCGGTTGAAAACATAGAAGTGATCCCACTTGTCGATAGTCTGTTCTGGAACAATTTGAGTAAATTTCATTATTTAACGATTTTGTGAATCAAATTAAATTCTTCTTTATGTGCCCTGTCCATTCAGGTGGTAGCCGATGATGGCCCTCCACATCTTCCTGTCTCTTGTAGCTTTTGATAAATTTTGTCTTTTTGTTATTTCTCCCAAAACCTGTTCTACCATCCATTTATTGAAGCCCATTAAGTACGTTACATGCTGCTTTCATCTGTCCCGCTTTCTCTCAATCAGTCCTGTGAGTATCAGATTTTCCAAACCTTCATCTCTATTGACATGCCCCAGTGCCTTTCATTTTTGTTTCCGTTTTCTCTAAAACCTCATCGTTACTCATATGTTCAGCACATGGTATCGTTAGCATATTTCTGTAGAACCACATTTTCTGTTGCTTCAATTCGCTTTTTCATCCTTGATGAAACTCTTAGTATTCAATGTCATATAGGAAGACAGATAATTCAGTACAACTTTCTTTGTTTCTAATGTAGGTATTCTGTCTCTTAATACTATGTTTGGCTTTTGGAACGTTATTTACCCATTCCAATGGGTCTTCAATTCTCAGTTTTCCGTTCTCTCTTAGAACAATTCTCAGATATTTAAATTTTTGTACTTGTTTGATTTTTGTATCCCCTGTTTGTAATATGCATTTTGGGCTCATCTTTTTACTAACAACCATGCATTCTGTCTTTTCTCTTTCCTTAGGAACCTTCTGTATAGCGGTGAAGAAAAGCAAATGGCTAGTACAAGATTTCTCATATGAAGACTTTCTTTTCCATCCATGTTAGGCTATGTAATGTTTTCGATAATTAAAAGCTAAATGTTTGTACCAATAAGCCTGCATTACAGGTCGGACAAGTCAAGTACTTTTAAATCTTGAAAGAAAATGGATTTAGTCTGAAGATCACAGGAACATTTAGCAGAATATGTGACTCTCTTCCCAAAGCCATCAATCATATTTTTCCTTGATCTCTTTAGATTTGACAGATTTTGAGGGACGTTTGTTTAAGATTATTTCATGGTCGGCAACTTAGATGACCACAAAAAAGTAACTACAGTTTTTGTTGACTTTCAAATTGTCCAATAATCTTCAGAAATGCGGAATTAGTTTTTTTAATTAATTGAAGCGTTATGAGGTATTATTATTATTAATAATAATTTTTTATTTGAATTTATTTTGGTCAACATTGTTTTACTCAGTTCAGGAATCTATGGTACCCGATGGGTCTGTCTACAGCTCTTGTAGGAGTTCGAATCTGCAGTTTTTCTGAATTTATCTGAAAAATGACTCTTTTTAAATAAAAGCTCATATTTAGCTTTATTAAAACAATTGTTTAATCCTATAAAAATAAGCAAGATCATTGGTCCTGATTCTACGTCTCGCCTTCAGTCACTTTCCCCTTTGCTGTAAATTTGCCTCCCTGTGAAGTTTCTATAGATACTTTCATGGTAATTGTTCGGATGGACTCTTCGCTGTGGTACCTATGTAGCCCTATGTTCTTTGCTAACAGTTCTTTTTCTCCTTTTACTACATTCTTTTTTACTCGCTCTTTGGTGGAGTTAGTGCTTTTTTAAATCATATTGTGTCTGATTTAATAATCTTGCTTGGCTGAACTGGATTATATACATACATACATACATACATACATACACACACACACACACACCCCCCCGCATATATATATATATATATATATATATATATATATATATTGCAAAGATAAAGGCTAGCATAGAAAAAAGAAAAGAAAAAGTGAACACATACATATATTCCCATTCCCAAGAAATGGCATGCTGACAAAGTCTAATTCTTAATGAGAAGACTTGAACAAAAACAGAAAAAAAACAAAAAAAACAAAACAAAACATGCACTTTGGACAGTTTATCCGAAAGGTTGTTTCATCCTGTGTGAAATTTAAAAAAGAAATATAGTAAAGCAAATTCAAGAGACACAATCTTGGAGTAATTTTTGCAACACTTGATGAATTCTGGTTGCCGAAATATAAGTCTGACCCACAATATATATATATATATATATATATATATATATATATATATATATATATAGGATTAATATGAGTAAAATAAGGAATAATTTCTTTTATTATTTACTTTTATTTCGTTTTTTTTTCATATTAAACATGAGCCAGTGCATATGTTAGTAATTCGTATGTCCATTCAAAAAATCGTTGCTTGCTGACCACAGATACTTGATTGAATTTAAAAATCAGGAGAATTTCCGTGCCAGTCTATAGTACTTTGATTTGCTCACTGGTAAGGCTTGCCACTGTGTTCGTGCAGCGTTACAAATTTTCATACGCTTCCTTGGAGTAACGTCCACCGCAGACGATGGCCGTAGGACAACTAATCGACAGTTGGGACAATAGTGTCTGGGCGTGATAAAAAACTGATGCAATCACGCATGATGAATTATTTTTCAAGGCCACACAGATTTCATCACACACTGCGAAAATAGATTCATATTTCAGCACCACACTATAAATGACCTAATCTGAGGTAAAAATAGAAATCCATTACATCCTGTCACTCCAGTGGATCTAAAAGTGACCGTATGGTGAAAGAGAGGAAAACTAAAGCGGTTGTTTCAATTAATTTCCACAAGGATATATATATATATATATATATATATATATATATATATATATATATATATATATAGGTATAACGTTTTAAGGTATGCTATGTTTATGGATTAAAGTGATCAATATCAGGAATAGAGCGTATGTAAATTTAAAAGTCAAAACGTAGAGGGTGTTGATTTCAATGTCTACTTATACATATATATATATATATGTGTGTGTGTGTGTGTGTGTGTGTGTGTGTGTGTGTATGTATATATTGTAGAAACACACACGCCCATAACACTAACCACCTTATAGAACACCAAATTAGTATATTTCTCCCCAAAGTAAATAGCAACGATAGTGAAAAATTATCTCTCTATATTTCTGAGATGAGGTGTTATGTAAACTATTTACATTATTCGGGCTATTGTCCTCATCTTTGTTGCCATATTTATCACAACGTTTCGGCCGTTGTCCGCTGCGGCTTTCTTCAGGTCGTTGGAATGTCGAAATGAACCCTTAATTTCGAACGATGGGGTAGACTGTTCTAGTTCTATGTGCCATGTATAAGAGATATCAGTTATCTTCTGTTAATTCCCCTCTCCATTGCCTTAACCACGTACTGAACTCAGACTCTTTGGGTCCTGTCACTGGATCTAACTAACGCCTTTGTCCACTGTGCCATGTGTCCTTGACGATATCTGTGTATGAATTTCTGGGTATTATAAACATCAAGACATCCGTATGCCGTAAACCGTTATTCACTGGACAGTACCTCAATTTCAACTCCCACCATCGATAAACCGTAAGGAAAGGGATGGTCCGTTGCTTACAACACCGAGCAAAAGTCATAAGTGGTGACCCAGAGACATTAGATAAAGAATTGGTCAGTATAAGTAGTACCCTACAACGTAACAACTAACCTGGGTACATGGGAACAGCCCCAATAAACTGGGATAGGCCAGTACAACAAGAGGAGGCGGACAACAACACTCAGAAAACAGTCTGCCTGCCTTATGTGAAGGGGTTATCGGAGAAAATACAAAGGATATGCAGTCCATATAACATCAGGACAACCTTCAAAAGCTGGACGACTCTTTGCAGATATTTCTCCCGAGTAAGACTCCCCCAATAGAGGAGAACGTGACTAAAGACTGTGTGTACGATATCCCGTGCAGCTGCGGAAAGAAATATAAAGGGGAGACACGCTGCCTCCTTAAGGTAAGGCTTCAAGAACACCGGAAAGCTGTAACACGAGGGGAAGTGGAAAAATCAGGCGTGGCTGACCACATATGGAGAAAGAAGGGAGATCACCGCCCTCTGTGGGATCAGGTTGAAATCATAAACAAAGAACATCATTGGAAAATTCGTAAACAATAGTCCGAATAATGTAAATAGAGTAAAAAATTACATAAATATTTTCTACAAAAAACAAACGCACATTGACTACAAACATGATGAATCTTCATTTAGAAATATTATGAAGACCCGAATAAAAAAATTAAATTTATTATCTACTATTAAAAAATTAAGACAGCTAACCTTATTTTTAAAAATAGCAACACTCCAGCTAATTCAAAATTACAACGAACGAACATTATCTATGAGTTCAAATGCCTCTTAAGGAACTGTGTTCCTGATCAAACCGAACTCATAATTACATTGTTCACACAACTACATGCCTATCTAGACGCCTTACTTTACACCTATCTGACCACAGCTCTATTAGAACCCATTTAAACACACATACAAACTTACTAGAGTCCATCCGAAATATACTAGTAGAGAATACAAACATAATAACCTCATCCACATGTAAAAAAAAAAGATTAAAAATAATGGAAGCCTTAATAATAAAAAAAAGAAAAAAAAACAATTCTTAACAATATTAACTACGAACTAGGCCAGAATGTGCTGACTGTGTTCGGAAAATAAACCACCTCTATAACACACTAAAAACATACACATAACGCACACTCTCTATTAAACTGAAAAATAGAATCATCCTTGATAATGGCTAAAAGTATAGCCGAAAGCGCACGTAATTATAGAACATTTGGACAGTTTCTACACACTCTGTGTCCAAAAAAGAAAGCTCTTTTTCTAACACAAGAAAAATTAAATAAAAACTTAACTGTAGTATCTTGTCTGTCGTTTTTAATGAAATATATATATATATATATATATATATATATATATATATATATATATATATATATTTAAAAAAATATTTTCCTTCGTTATAAGAGTTCTCATGTTTCATCGAAACCATCAATATAATTATTAAATTAATTGAATTAAATAGCCCCTGTTTCATCAATTTCGCTTGAGGATGAAACAGGGCTTGTTCTAATTCAATTTAATTTACTAATTATATTGATGGTTTTTACTCTCATTTTGAAAACATGAGAACTCTAATGCAGCGAAGGAATCATATTTTTAAAAAAAATAATTATAATCTAAGCTCTACTTCTGTATGGAGTACTGTTTTTTAAAAATAAGAACAAAAATACTAAAGAACCCTGTACTACTTACCTAACGTGTTCTTTCCTATTTTTCTACACACCTGCACACACACACACACACACACACACACACACACACACACACACACACACACAAACATATAATACCATCATCTACAATGTTTCTTGGTATTTTCCTCATTTTACCAGACAAAACCTTTAATTGTCCATCAGGAAAAAATAAAACTGATTTTATATAAGCTTTTTTCTTTAAGGAAGTTATTTAGCGATTTAAGTACCTTAAATGTGTGTGTGGGGGGTGCCATCTGTTTCTCCTTCCCTGTCTCTGTCTCTCTTTCTCTCTCTTAACATTTCTCTCTGTCTCTCTCTACTACTATCTGCCTAGTTGAGTCTTTCCAAATGTATATCTTTCTATAATTTTATAGACGTCAGCACCTCGTATTGAGCAATTTTAGCGCAAATTACAATGAGAGTAGGAAGAGGTGATTACAAATAATCTAACAATGGCAACTTTTGGTAATTGGCCATCTACAAAATATTTTAATTACGAATAGGTACAAACCTTTTTTTTTTTACTAAACTTATTTGAATCACACTCGGCACTTTGTGAGAAACAAACTCAGTAGGAGCGTAAATCGGTCGAGAAGCGAGATTGTATACTGTCGTTCTATGAGGGCGATACTTTTTTTTTCTCACTTCTTTTTTTCCTTCACATTTGTTGCCCCCATGAGGCCGGTCTCTGTAAATACCATTCTCTCATAGGGCTGCTCCGTTCGTTAAGTGCCCCTCTTCTCTTTTTTTTGGACCAATCGTAAATACGAATTCTCAGTTCTTGTTCACGCTTCTTTTATTTTGCCGACTCGATTTGGATTTCCACCCGTCGGTTCAAGAAATTCGCAGATTTCCCCTCCCATGACTTCGCTCCCGGTAGTCGTCTCCGATAAAACTCTGTCAATAACATTCTCACCTACTTTTTTAACAACTCGTAATTTCAGTTTCGTTATTTTCTTTGCTTCTTTCTCTTTGACTTTTCCCCCTTTTCAAGCTATCAATTTTTATACTTTTCAACGTGCCACCCGGTGTATTTTCTACCTCTTCTTTAGTCAGTGTTCTTGAAATTTCTTCCATTTTCCTGACGTTCATTTATCTCTAAAGAGCTTTCTTACACACATGCGCTCGGAATTTGGAATCATTCAAATTTTTACATATGAGTGAATTTTTCCTATATATATAGTAGCGATGTCAAAGATAGTATTAAGCCAAAAATGCTGACAGTTAATGGGATATTGAGAAAAAAGACATTTATGGAAAGCAGTCTTTGCAATAAAGTGATCGATATCAAAGATAGAGCATTAATAGGATTAATTGTTTGTCATTGATTGAAGTTACCTTCAACCTTCGTAAGCGCACCTGTCCATCCACTATTCAGGAGGCATCATGAGTGGACGAACAAGTCCGCCTACCAAACTCTGGAGTCTGGATGCTGAAGGTAACTTCAATCAGATAAGTGACAATTTTTTTATATATATATATATATATATATATATATATATATATATATATATAGAGAGAGAGAGAGAGAGAAAAAGAGAGAATATTACAACAAAACCATGTAAGAATCGCTACACAATTGCAGTCGTGTTACAACGCATAACATTGCGTCTCCTCAGGCGTTTGTAAATTACTGGTGAGCGAACGATTAATTTGGTTTCAAAAGAACGATACATCCTCTTTTTTTCTAAAAAAGAACAAAAAAAAAAACACAAGACTTGAGAGCTTTCCCCTGATCAACCAATCGAATATGACCTATGTTAAGTTCAAAGTTGGCGAAAAAAAAAAGAAAAGAAATTATTATTTTAGAAATTACCATAAATTTGACATTTGAGGTAGGTCAAATTCGATTGGTATATATATATATATATATATATATATATATATATATATATATATATATATATATAGTTCAAAAAGTTTGAAGCCACACCAGAATTAGCATGGAGGAATTTGACAGAAGAATGGAAAAAATATGAAAAAAAGAGCTCTTAAACTCATTGAATTGAATGAAAACAATGATCAAACTTTGAGCTGCAGAAATTACGGCTAGAGGAGGATATTTTGACGAGTGCAAAATTTAATAAAATGCTTTTTTATTTTTGTTATAATAACGTTTCTAATACAAACATGTCTAACTTTTTTTTAACCATGTATAATAATTTCCTCTTATTTAAAGTAAAAACAACTTTTTTGGTGGGGGTCGATTTAAAATAAAATATCATGGGTGTACTGAAACTTTCGAACTGTAATATATATATTTACTACTTATCCCCAGATTTACTAACTTTTTGACTTCGCCGTAACTTAAAATATATATAATCATACATTTAATTTCTTTTTAATTTAATTTAATATTTAATTTAAAGAAACGAATGGATATTTTTTAAACAATGAGACAGATTTTCATTGCTTAAATTTTATTTTAGGGGATACCCGTATTTGAATATTTGATACCGTATTTATTCATTAAACGGTATTTTTATTTTCGCCTAATGAACTGAATATTCGAGAAATGTTATTGGAAAAATATGCGATATACCGCAGATTTCTAGCGCATTAGTTAAAAATAATTATAAATTAATAAATTTGGTGGGGCGGCCCCCCACTATATATATATATTTGTATGTGTGCATGTGTTTTCCAATCTCTACAGTGACGACCTCTTCAAGACAAGGGTTAAGCGTTATATTTACTGCATAACTCCACTTACAACCTTTTCTTACGCTCATACAAGACCACACTTGAATGGCTCTTGAGGCTTATATTGTTTGGACATTCGTATCTATCTAGCTACATATCTATCTATTATATATATATATATATATATATAAATATATATATCAGTCTGTTCTTTATTGATCTATTCCATTCTATTTCTATCTATCTATCTATCTATCTATCTATCTATCTATCTATCTATCTATCTATCTATCTATCTGTCTGTCTCATAAATATATACATCTGTTCATGAGTTCTTGGCTCGACCCACTTCCCAAAATTTAACGAAATGACCAAATCATATTTTTGGTGGGAAGGGCTTATTGGACAGCGGAGTCTTTTCAGTGCTCTCATGTAAGTTTAGACTGATTTATTTATCTGATTTAAGTAGCTACATATATATATATATATATATATATATATATATTTTGAAATAATAAGAAAATTAAAAATTAAAAAATTAAAATCATTAGACACACTGGGTTGTAGATTAATATTCTTTTCGTTTTTTTTTTTTATTATTATTCCATTTAGATTCTCGACTAGTTTCGACCGAAATGCCCATCATCGGGAGGAGAAATATTTCATTGCTTGGCAGTGAACTACAGAAATGAATATATATATATATATATATTGATGGAATTTTATTTTATGAATCCGACAGATTTTATAAAGAAAACATTACTTTTTTGAGAAGATACTATATATATATATATATATATATATATATACTATATATATATATATAGATAGATAGATAGATAGATAGAGAGAGAGAGAGAGAGAGAGAGAGAGAGAGAGAGAGAGAGAGAGATAGTTAATGAAGTTATTTGGTAATCTGTATGGATAATTCCAAGGTGGATGTAATCCAGAGAGTTGAATGTAAAATTAGAGCAAATATTAATTATATTAAGTATCAAAATGTAGATCTGATTAATTATCTAATTAATTATCTGATTAATTAGTGCCAAAATACTGGTCCTAAGGAAATAAATTATAATCCATGAACACTTTAACTTGTCTGTTTCCCTAATGTAATTTATATATATATATATATATATATATATATATATATATATATATATATATATTATATATTATTATTATTAATTAATATATAAAATGACAATATGAAAAAGGACAAAAGAACATATAAATTTGCTTTGAAGTTTTTTCCTCTGATGGACTTTATTATAGCAAATGTAATAATTTTATTTTACAAGTATTTCAAAATGTACAAATGATAGTTTCTCAAAATTTTTAAATTTAAAAAAGCAAATTCATGAGATTGCAGCAATTGAATCTTATCAAAATAAAAAACTAAAAATCTGCCCCTTGGAATTTTTCAAATATCTCACTTCCACAAACATTTACCTTTTCCCAAGCCAACATACCTTACTATAAATATGTTAAGAAAAAAAAATTAAAAGATTGAAAATTTCAAAAATGCTAAAAGAAAACAGTTAAATTCATAACTCACATTTATTTAAAATATATGCTACATACATTTATACCATTATAAATTAATTTAAATATTATTTGCATAAAAAATCAACAAAAATTACTCCCTTTCGATTATTAGACATTATATTACATCACTTAGCATCTTCCATAATTTGCCTAAACCTTTCAGATAACCTGCTGAATATTTATTTGCGTCTCGTAAATTAAAAAAAAATGAAAAATAACAAGATTCTTAAATTTAAATAAAGGACGAAACGCGTCGACTAAGATAATATATATTTTTGTCTTTAATCATATATATATATATATATATATATATATATATATATATATATATATATAAATATATTATAAATAATTTGAAATATAGTGATTTACTAAGCGTCGCTTACTCGTAAGCACAAGACAGTAAGTATGGTGCGACCAGTGGAGATCGAACTCACTACTCTATTTTAACTGATCATAGCAAGACAGGCAGGTTAAACGTGAGACAACGTTCAGGTATACCTATCGTATGGAATATATTTAAAGTCATTCTAGTTGAATTACGTTGAATTTAAACATCGCAAAACAGACGTTTAAATCGGTTTCCAGTCCCAAAATAAACTCATGTTTTTGCAAATAAATATACATTTGGTCCCTGCTCGAGACGAATCTGTAATATTAATGTGTGTGTGTGTGTGTGTGTGTGTGTGTGTGTGTGTGTGTGTGTGTGTGTGTGTGTGTGTGTGTGTGTGTGTGTGTGTGTGTGTGTGTGTGATTATCGGTAAAACCGTGTTTAATTTTGAAAAAAAATGGTTAATAAAATTCTTCAAAATATTCAGCTTTTAACTAATATAGTTACTAAACATAAAATCCATTAATTACTCAAGCTTTCATATAATTAAATAAGGGGGAGAAACACATTTAAAATAAAAAAAACAACATTTTACCAAGATTTTCTAATGAAAAAAAAACATTCAAAAATATAATTCTTTTGTTTATAAGTCCTAAAAACTTCATTAAAATCTAACAAGTACTTGATTTTTGCAAGAATTTCCAAATTAATGTGTCTGTCACCGCAAAAAGAGGCGGACATTTGCTAGGATAATTTATAGTACAACGGCTGACACAAGAAAAACAGTTTTTTTAATCAAAATTTCGAATATTCTAAAAAGAATAAGAATTCTAAAAAATTAATTAAATAATCAAAACATATTTTGATCCTTCCTCTTAATAATAAACCGATTTTGACGATAAAACTATTTTTGCTAACGTTTGGAGCATGTTTTCATTATGGTATGCTGATTTTTAGCGATCTCGTCGAGGTAGCTACATATGCCAAGATTAAATAAGGTATTTTTCTTTATATGGAATCGTATATCGTACATAAAATGAAGTCATAAAAATGTTAATAAAAGGAGACTGTTATAAATGACGTCATCTTGAATGACTTCGAAGCAACACCGCGATTGGCCAAAAAAGTTACATAAACATTGTTATGTATGTTGGATTTGGAAAGATATATTTATTTCAGAAAAGAATATATTTGAAAAAAAATTCTTTTTTTATTTATATTGTCCTTATATATATATATATATATATATATATATATATATATATATATATATATATAATATTGATTGCAGCTAGTAGTTTAGAAGCCTTTGCAAGATAAATTCTTATATTTAGTTATTCAGAATTAGCCAAGTAGAGCGTGCTGAGAGATTTTCAGTATATATAATTCTATTTCTCTTTGATAAAGAGTGAATTGAAATAGCATACAACATATGTTTTATTTGGTTTCTAGCAATAAACAGAATTTGTATCTTGAGAAGAAAATAATATATGTGTAGATACATAAACAAGTCCGTACCACAATACTGAAAAAAAAAGTTTTTTACAAAACATATTTATTTTATAACGTAATCATTTTTCTGTCAATGCACTTAACACAACATTTCTCCATAACAAATTCAGTCAAATCTCATATTTCAAACATAAATCCTGGGAAATTTTGAAATATTCACGCAATAATATAAATACGGTCATATTAAATATAATATATATATATATATATATATATATATATATATATATATATATATATATATATATATATATATATATATATATATATATATATAGCGGCTTGGAGTGAGGAATCGCAGAGCCGAGTTCGAATTCCAGTCGAATCCATTACATTCACTTACGTGCTAATACCTTTGGGAAAGGTATGAATCCTCTTCCTCTACCTCCAGCTATGGGTAAAATAGCCCAGGACAGACTGGGTTCTATAGCCTTGGATGGCAACTGGTCTAGAAGGACAACTCTGAATTTAAAACTTGCGGAGGTTCGTTTGGGAACCTTGTGGCATTCAGTGCACCAGGTCTCTGTATTCGGCCCTTCAAAAAGTGTGGATGGTCCTGCACGAGGCCTTCACCACTATAATCAAATCTCATGTGCCGGTGTCGGGCTGTCAGTTTCCTGAAACTGACCTGCTTCACACCCTCATACGTCGAATCTCGACGGAGAGTCGATTATATATATATATATATATATATATATATATATATATATATAAAGGGAACGATGGATAAATAGTTGTTGTATCAAAGACGCAAAAATGAAACTAATAATCTCATTTTAACGGATATCTTTATCAAAATTACACAAAAATACCTAAAGAGTGAATTTATTTAATAAAATCGCCATTGGCTTCAACCATGGCGTCCAAACGACTTCGTAATTTCTGCATCTCTTAGGGACGGTCGGCTTGTTTAAGTTGGTTCATGCTGCCATAATCCTTGCCTTCAGTTAATCTTTGGTGTTACAGGGAGTTTAGTTGGTCTCTCGCTCAACTGCGCTCCACCTATAATAATCAAGGGGGTTACAGTCTATGGAGTTAAGTGGCCAGATGTAAGGTGTGATGTGGTCTCAAAAATTGTCTGAGAGCCATGACTGGGTTCTCCTGCTTGTGTGGCATAGTGCAGAGGTGTGGTTGCCAGACATAGGTTCTTCCAGCAGCCACCCTCTTGACCCAGGACAGCACTAGCTCCTAAAAACACTTGATGTAGGAGTCCGTGTTAAATCTGAAGTCCAGTGGGAAGATGAATAGAGGCATAACGTCGCCATCACTAGTGATCACTCCAAACACATTCGTAATCGCCATTAGACTCATCCAACTCTTTCTGAATCCTCTGCACTGAATGCACGGATGACAAGTAGTACTGCATGCAGTTTCTAAATTTCTGGAGGAGTAATTTGCGTTAAAACACTCTTTTTCTCAGAGAGGGTGACCAAATGATCCTACTATACTGTACCGTGGACAAAATAAACAAACAACGCGTATGCCCGGAATTAAAAATATAAAATGCGGACCCATCGCAACCTGTATATATATATATATATATATATATATATATATATATTTCTGTAGTTCACTGCTACCAGCAAGCAGAAATATTTCTTCTCCTGATGATGGCCATGTCGAGGAATCTAAATGAAATAATAATAATAAAAACGAAAGAATATTAATCTACAACCCAGTGTGTCTGAAGATTTAAATTTTTTAATATTTTTTATTGTTCAATTTATATATATATGTATATATATATATTAAGACATTTCTGATGTTTATACGTTCTTTTTTAGATACAAATATTTTAGTAAATGCTCTATTTATAATAAACAGTATTAACGGCATTTACTGGCTTGGATGTCTGAGAAATTCTAATACTGTTTATTATAAACAGAGCATTTACTTAAATATTTGTAACTA